ATTCAAACTGTATATTATAACCTTTTAAATGGAATAACAAAATATAAGAATGGCAAAGAAAAAGAATATGTGAATGTATATCTATAATTGTATGTAAGAGAATAAATGACAGTAAGAATATAAAACACAATATAGGCAAACATTTTGTTATAAATAGCTAAGTATAAATAAATATAGAATTGTACATAAAAATGGATAACGAATAAGGAGACCATGAATGCAAGATAGAAATGAATAGAAGGGAAAACACTAACTGTAAAGAAACCGATACGGAACTGCTGTATGATATATGATGGAACGTCTAGTCCCTAAGTGGTTGCAAGTCATGTGTTTGTTTTTGTTGATGTGTTTAAAATAAAAATTTATATATAAAAAAGAAAAATTCGAATTCCTGAGCTATAAGACATAAATTTATAAATCATCATACCAATATTTTCAATGAACATTATTAGTCCCTTGCATATATTGGTATGATGATCTAAGTTAGCAGTCCCCAACCTTTCTGGCACCAGGGGACCGGTTTCGGAAGAAAAATTGTCTTCCATGAACCGGGGTGCTGGTGAGGAAAGAGAATGGTTTCATGCACTGATGAAATTTCACTTGCTCTCCTGCCACTTGTGCGGCCTGGTTCCTAGGAAGAAGTCCATGGACCGGTACCGGTCTGGGGCCCAGTGGTTAGGGACCACTGATCTAAGTGATGTGTATTTATCTGATGATATCTGGCGCTCATTGCTTATCATTTACAGCAGCAGTACTGAACCTGTGGTCTGTGGAACCCTGGGTGTGGGGGTGTGAGGTGGTCTGCAAAGGCTTGAAGAAGTGCTATGATTTAAATCTTGAATTAGGTCTTGGGAGTCCGTGGCCACAAAAGGTATTTGAAAGGGGGCTGCGGTGAAGAAAATGTTGAGAACCACTGATTTACACTACTAACAGAATCCGGACTGTGTTAATATTTTTGTATTGATCTGCATTGTCCAGATCAGCATTGTCCAGATCAGTGGGTATTAGCCTGTGGTCTGGGAACTATTGGTTGTCCATCCAAGTATTATAGATGGTTTCTAATGCAGGTACCAGAACGTGTGCGTATGCGTTTGTATAAGTTTCAAGTGGCCCCCCAAATGGAGTGATTTTATTTTGAACCCATTCATTCTCCTAAAACCATGGAATATAAGAGCTGGAAGGAAACTATTTGACCCAGCCTCTTCCAACAGGTTTACAAGACATTCTTTACAATTTATTGCAAAGTTTGTTTTATTAATTAAATCACAATGAAGCAAATCATGGTTTAGTGCAGTGGATAGCCCTGTCCTCCTCCTATCTCCTCTTTCAGAAAAAAATCCCTTTTGGAATGAAATTATGAATGGGTCTGTAAGTTAATTCATACTATCTTTAAAAAAAAAAAATCTTCCAGAACCATAAATCTCTACATTGGACTTGCAATGTTTCTTAGCTGTATTTAAGGTTTTTTTAAAAAAAAAAATAGCACGGGCCAATCTAAAAATGTTTGGAAAATTCCTTTTAAGGATGCACCGTTAGGAGGAACAATGTGATCATGGAAGCACAGGATGACAAGGATGATGACAGAGGTAGGATTATGGATGACGGGAGCTGTACTTATCCCTAGCTATGCTTGGAATAGTATGCCGATGTCTGGATTGGATCCCTTCAGATTGGGGCACTTTTCCTGGGAGTCAAATATTCCTACATATTCCAAAGTGTCGTCGTCCCCCGCCCCTCTGTTAAAATTGGCTACAAGTATGTTAAACAACCAGTCACTTATAACAGATCTCCCCAGGAATACAGGTAGTCCTCGACTTACAACCACAATTGAGCCCCAAAATTTTTGTTGCTAAGAGAGAGTTATTTTTGCCTCATTTTACAACCTTTCTTGCCACGGCTGTTAAGTGAATCACTGCAGTTGTTAAATTAGCAAATGTTAAATGAATGTGGCTTCCCCATGGACTTGGCTTGTCAGAAGGTCACAAAAGTGACCCCCCCCGGGACACGGCAAGCGTCATAAATATGAATCAGTTTGCCAGGCATTTTGATCACGTGACCATGGGGATACTGCAATGGTCATAAGTGTGAGCAACAGTCGTAAGTCACTTTTTTCAGGGCTGTTGTAACTTCAGTCACTTAAGTGAACTGCGTAAGTCGAGGACTACCTGTAGTTACAACCTGGATTTGAAGTTAGGCATCCCCTCCCCAGGGTCACATGATTACATTTCAGAGCTTGGCAACTGGCCCATGTTTATGGCCCTTGGAAGCAACCCGTGGTCATCAGACCAGAATTTACAACATTTTTTGCCGTAAACTAGTGTTTACATCCCATTTGTGGCAAAAACAAAAAACAGCCCCACCCATTGTAGACAATGTGTGAGGAAGAAGATGGTGTTGGCAGAGTGCAGGGTGGGCAAAAGGACAGAGGTTGGGGGCAGTTGAAGCCCCTTGTGGCCCTAAGTGCAGGTGAGTTGCCAAACACCCGAAATTTGGTCATATGAAAGCAAGGGTGCTGCAATCGCCGTAATTCAGGGACCGGAAGTAACAACTGTTATCGTTCGCTTGGTGCTGGGATAAACTTTGAACAGTTGATAAACAAATGGTCGTTGTTATTTATCTCAAATAAATGTTTTTATTTCCTGTTTTTATTTACTGTGAGCCGCCCAGAGTCCCTTGGGAGTGGGCGGCATACAAATACCATTAAAGTTAAAGTTCTGACCCCGTCCTCCGTCCAGTAACGAATGCCGAGACAAGCTTAACTGGAATGTCACAGCACTTTATTAGCAAGAAACCAAAACCTCGGTGGCTGAAAGCCAAGCATAACAAACAGATAAGAACCTTGGCAGCAACTCAGATTTTGACAGATAACAGCTTCTTCAGCGTTAGCAATGAGGTTGACTCCTGCACAAACATTCCTTTTATAGTTTTGAGAGGAGCCTAATGACCACCAGCTGAGTGCAATTACCTGTAAATGCGCAACTGTTCCTTACGCCTATTAGCTCTCCTGTGCCGGGTATCCAGGAACAACTCCCTTGGCTCCTCCCCACTGCTGACCTCCAGATCACACTCCCTTGTCTCCTCTCCACTGGTCCAAAGCTCAGGCGCCTCCTGGTGGCCAACCAGCCTCTCTGCGCCCTGCTCGGAGTTGGAACCCTGTCTAGGGTCCTCCACATCCTCCAAAGCCGACTCATAGGGCCCTTCACTGTCGGAGTCTGGTGGCAGCTCCAACGGCTCCTACTGGGCCACAACAGGTCGTTAACCAAAGTCCAAAGTTATGCAGATCTACATTTTGCAGTCCGTATAACAAAGCAGAATTTAATCAAGCTTTATAGATTAACCCAGTGTTTCTCAACCTTGGCAACTTGAAGATGTCTGGACTTCAACTCCCAGAATTCCCCAGCCAGCATTCGCTGGCTGGGGAATTCTGGAAGTTGAAGTCCGGACATCTTCAAGTTGCCAAGGTTGAGAAACACTGGATTAACCCTTACCTGAGGACCAACAGTCCCTATTGTCTTCTTGGCAAAGATGAAATGGAAATGCATATACAAATGCAATTCCACTTGACACTTAGTTCATTTTCTGGTGATTGAGAGATCTCTCCCCCCCCCCCCCAAATAAAGCTGGCTGCCAAGGTTTTTCATTGATGAGGACATCCATTTAGTATGCTTATGTACTAAATGGAAGATGTGATTTCTAAACTCTAGGAGTTTGGCGAAGAAATGGTGAAGCCATTCCAGTTGAAAGCAGCCACTCCTTGACTTTAGGAAATAAGTTGAAATGATTTCAGTTCATTCTTCTCCAATCAGAGAAGTCCATTTTTATTCCCCAGGCTGACTTTTCTGCTGTTAAGGCACCTGCACATGGTGGCTTATAATCCAGCTGCTCTGATGGGAAAGGAATAGAAACTGGAACAGGGCAAGAAATATCAAGCACTAGTACTTTTCAGTTGGTACAGTCTTGCCTATAGCCTGGTGAAAAAGCCACTGTCCAGGCAGTTTTGAAAAGAAAGGTCTTCCCTCGGGAGGGTTGTATCGGTAGAGGGTATAAGCAGCACCCTCCTGGCTTCCGAGTCCATTTCTTCCAGAAAAATGCTTAACTGGTTTATTTTCTCACTTTACCCAGTGAGTGTGGCAGAAATGTCCCTCCTGAATAAGCTGATCCGGACGTCACTTGTGGAATCAAGTCATCACGTGGAGATTCTACAACGGGATCCCAAATCGCCACTGTTTTCCGTAACCACCTTTGAAAAGCTGCATTTGTGAGAAATCGAATTTCCAAATCATTCTATTTAGCGCATAGAAAGTCCACAAACAGTTCCCAGTCTCTTATAAAGCAGTCTATAATATATAATAGATGGTTAACCGAGGGATTTGAAGATTACTGTATTGTTCAGCTTAACCTGTTGACTGCTTTTTCTACTTTCTTCATATGTATATATGCATATGCACATTTATAGAAAGAAAGGAAAGGAAAGAATATATATAGGATCCACCCTGGCTGGTTGCTGATTTTTTTTAAAAAAAATTATATAAATATAAAAATATATGAATTTACTCTCTTCCCTTTTCTTTCAGCAATCAGCTACATGTTGAATGTTAAATTTAATTGATCACTTTTTCCTCTCTTTTTTTTGTAACACTATTTTTCTTTGTCGTTGTTGGGGTTGAATGAATGTTTATTTTTGTTTCATTTCGTTTGTTTTACTGTTTTGTATTTTAATTTTTAATGATAAAACAATACATAATCTTAAAGGATTTCCAAGTCGTTCACCTTGATGCATTCATTCTTAATTATTAATAACAATAACAATGTTATTAATTGTTACTAATTGTTCAGCAGTACATTTGAACCTTTTGCTGTTTTATTGACAGAAAGCCAGAACTACTGCAAGGTATTTATGGCATGGGTTTTAACAGGCCATCCAAGATACAGGAATCCGCGCTGCCAATTATGCTTGCTGATCCGTAAGTTGCTTGAAAAGAAATTAGAAGGACCTGGCTGGTGTTGTAGGTCAGGAAAACTCTATATCAGTGATGGCGAACCTTTGAGACACCAAGTGTCCAAACTGCGCATGCACATGCCCAAACTCTGTGTGGACATGCATGCATGTGCAGCAGAGACCCGTTGGCTGGCAGAAGGCGGGGCATCCCAACACCGACAGCACAGCAAGAGGTAAGATCTTTTTCTTTCGCGAGCTTCTGTTTCGTCATTTGCAGGTAAACAGAAGCTCACGAAAGAAACGCCACGGAGATATGACCTGGGACGACAGCACACGTGGCAGCAGAAAGGGCTCTCCGTGCCACCTCTGACAGGCGTGCCATTGGTCGGTCATCACGGCCCTATATCAATTAGTTAGTGACTTCTATTAACTGACTTGAGTATATAAGAATCTCAGTTTATCTGCCTTGAAGCTGAATTATTGCATTTCTTTCTTGGGTTGTCAAAGATGGGAATTGTATAAAAAGAATGCTGAACTGGTTGACGGGACTTTGAGGCTCTTGTGAGCTAAGATAAAAGCAAAACAGCTTTTTTTTTTTATGGGACTGAGGTGATGTTTCCAAAACAATACAAAGACTTAGGCTTCCAGATTCATGTTTGCTTTACACATGACAATCCTGTTGCAGAAATCTTTTCAGCTGGTTCAGTTTTGTTCATCCTTTGAAAGTATATATTGTTAGGTAAGCTCCCCGTTGGGAGAGCGAGTGCATTCATAGAAGCGTTGTGAGAGTTGTGTTGGAGAACACACAAACCAGCATACAGAGACACTGCAGTTTAAGTAGGCTTTTACTTTCGTGGAAATAGAGGTATCAGAGTCAGTCAAACAGTCCAAGTCATACACTGTTAAGATAGTCAGTCATCAATGTCTTTCAGTTAAGGGATAATCCAAATAACATAGTCCATAAACATACAAACAGTCCAGTGCTCAAAGTTTGCTCACGGCACTTTCTAACAGCCAGCTTCTAAAACACTCAGATCAGATCAGCCCAGCATCTAACAAACAGAGAGCTAACAGTCATTCTGGCTCCCTCTTATGGCCGATTGAGGAAAACAGCAACCAATCACATTTTACAGTATGATTTAAAGAAACGTACAACATTGTTACATGATTTATATATTGCCAACCCAACCGTTAGATTATATTCCTAACATATACTTTCACATATTGTTGTTGTTGTATATTTTCTTAGTCTTGGTTTTATGAAATGTTCTCCCGGTTCTCCTTATTTAAATGCCATTTCCACTTTATTTTTTTGTCTGTTTTATATTAAAAAGAAATCCTGGAATCATTTTATTCTTTCCCTTTCTTTTGCTAGTCAGTTGCTCTCTATTTTGCACAAATGTTAATAAAGTAATTCTGTATTTCAGACCCCAAAATCTTATAGCACAAAGTCAGTCAGGGACAGGCAAAACAGCTGCATTTGTTCTAGCTATGCTGAGCAGGACAGACCCAAAGAAGGAATTTCCACAGGTAAAATGTCACTAATCTTGCTGCTCCCTTCAAGGACAATTCACCAGTGCTGTTTTGTGAGCAGAATTTTTGGTCTTAACTTGAGTCAGATTCTTTCCTTTCCATTCTTTTCCTTGACTGAAAAATATGATAGCAAAAGTTTTATAATCTGAGGTTTTGTAAAAAAAAAACACCAACAACCACTTTCCACTCAAATTTTGATGTCCTTGCTTTTTTGGCACACATTTAATTTAAGGAATATAGCTATGTGAGCAGTGATGAAACAATTCACCCAAACATTATTTTATTGGACCAATTCAGCGCGCATACATCTACCCGCACCCACAGGCACTTGACCTCAAGCCCTTTCCAAAATTGCCTGCTTAAAAACCAATGCTGTGAGTGAGAAACTAACTCGGGTAATATCTGCCTCTGTAAAACATTTGCTCCAGAGTTGTTCATATAGAAACAGCAAAAATATTTTATAAGTTCAAGTCAGAAAAGTATAGGTAGTCCTTAACTTAGGGCCACAATTGAGGCTAAATTTTCATTGCTAAGCGAAATATTTGGTATTTTTGCCCCATTTTACGAACTTATGGTCCACAATTGTTCAGTGAATGACCACAGTTGTTAAGTTAGGAACCTGATAGTAACCAATTTTGTTGTATTAATTTTGTATAATGACAATAAAGGGTATACTATACTGATTGCTAAGTGATTCTGGCTTTCCCCATTGATCTTGTTTGTCACAAAATAACCCACATTTTATAAACGTGCTGCAGTTCAGCTCCTTTTGAATGGAACCTGGGAACAATTGCTGGGAGATAGCGATTTCATAAGAGGTACTTGGTTAGTCATTACTCCACAGTCAGGTCATAATTGAAAAAAAGCACCCCAGGAAGTTGAATCAATGAATGTGAAAATGTGCGTCTCTTGTTGAAAATTAAGTTTAAAATGTGGCTACAGGCTATAAAGATAAGTCGTACATTTATCTTGTCTTGCCTTGAAGTGCCTCTGCATCGCTCCCACCTTTGAACTGGCTGTTCAAACTGGACATGTTGTTGAGAAAATGGGAAGATTCTGTGTCAACATAAATGTCAATTATGCTATTCGAGGCAATAGAGGTAAGGATTTCTTATATACTGTACATGCTAGATCAGTGATGGCGAACCTTTTCGGCACCGAGCCCCGGAAACTCAAAAGACCAGCTCTTCTGTTTTCTGGCGGGCACAAGGACCCACTTCAGAGGGTTATTGATTAGGAGGCAGTGTTTCTCAACCTGGACAACTTTAAGATGCGTGGACTTCAACTCCCAGAATTCCACAGCCAGCATGGCTGGCTGTGGAATTCTGGGAGTTGTAGTCCACGCATCTTAAAGTTGCCATCATTAAGAAACACTGCCTCCTAATCAATAACCCTCTGAAGTGCGTTGGCCTGAAAGGGAATAATTGGTCCAGAGTCATCCAGTGAATTTTCATGACTGAAGATCTCCTTGATTCTGAGTCCTCCAGTAAAGTCCACCCTCCTGACCCTCGAGATGCAATGCATTTCCACCCTCTCTTTGTTGTGCTAATACTTCTGTACTTATTTTCTAAAACACAAAAATGTTGCCAATCTCCCTTGACGCATACTCAGGAGCGCATCTCCCCTTCATATAGGGGACTCTTCCACAGTTTTTTAAAAAAAAAGTTTTGTAGGAAACATTTCAGTCGCTAAGCACAATATTACAGTTCCTTTTTTCATCCCCACCGATGAATGAATGAATGAATATAAAGTTTATTATGCTCGTAGACCAGCCAAAGACAAGAATCTATTTACAATAATATTAAAAGTTAATGCCAATAACAGTAGTAATAATAACATTCATAACAATAACATGCATTATATCATACAGTTTGGATTATGCCCCTGTGTACCCTCCAGATGATTTTGGCTTCAGACTTGGGAAATTTTCTGTGGGGTTCTTGTTAATTTGTTCGAATTTTTGAGGGTGGATGGGTGGGGTGTATTGGATGAATGATATTTCTGTAATTTACAGAATAATGGAGTTGGAAGGGATCTTGGAAGTGTTCTAGTCCAACCTCCTGCTCAAGCAGGAGACCCTATTTTCAACAATGGTTGTCCAGTCCCTTCTTAAAAGCCTCCACATCTCCCGAAGGTGGTCCACTGATTGATTGTTCTAACTGTCAGGAAGCTTCTTCTTGGTTCTAGGTTGCTTCTCTCCTTGATATGCCCTCCATATATTCCATACAGTATTATAAATCCTAAGAGTCTCAGCCAGCAGACCACTAGCATGTAAGTAGGTGTGGATGACATTCCAAAGCATTTGGAAGGCACCAAGACCTACTTGCGTGACTACAACTTTTTGAAAAAGAAGGCTCTGCATGGTTCTGTGTTGTGGCCCAGCAGGAGCCATTGGAGCTGCCATCAGACTCCGACAGCGAGGGACCCTTTGAGTCGGCTCTGTAGGATGTGGACAAGTTCCGACTCCGAGCAGGGCGCAGAGAGGCTGGTTGGCCACCAGGAGGCACCTGAGCCTTGGACCAGTGGGGAGGAGACAAGGGAGAGTGAGCCGGAGGCCAGTAGTGAGTTGTTCCTGGATGCACGCCATCGAAGAGCTACTAGGCGTCAGGAACAATAACACAATTACAGGAGATAATTGCACTCAGCTTTTGGTCATTAGGCTTCTCTCCAGACTATAAAAAAGGCTACTTGTGCACACTCCCCTCTTTGCAGAAGTCAACACAGGATTGAATGTTGGAGAACATTGTTAGAAGCTTGGCAGGCTGGATTGCTGCCAAGGACCTGTTTGTCTGTTAATTAAATGTCATGATTTATCTCTGGCTCGGAGTGTGCTTTGGTGTGGAATGAGGGGGGTCAGAAAAGTTCTGTTTCTCTTTTGGGGTTTAATAAGAGTAATAATGTTCATTCTCACATTTGTTTTGCCTTCATAACAATTTTATAGGGTGCCTAACATGCTCTTTGGTTTCATAAGTATGAAATTGACCCGGAGACCCTAAGGAGAAATGTCCTGACAGCTAGAACAATTAATCAGTGAAATGAGTTGCCTCCAGAAGTTGTGGGTCCTCCAACACTGGAGGTTTTTAAGAAGAGACTGGACAGCCACTTGTCTGAAATGGTATCGGGTTTCCTGCTTGACCATGGGGTTGGACTAGATGACCACCAAGGTTCCTTCCACTCTGTTATCCTGTTGATTCGAGGTTCCTAATTATCCAGCCTATTCAATTTCATATTTCCCTCATTCTGAACAGGACCAAAGAAAAACAACTTCACAAAATTACTACTACATAGTCTTCATTTTTTTCATTGCAGCAAGTAATGCTTTTTACATAAATATGTTTTTCTTAGTTCCAAGGGGGACCTCAATAAAAGAACAAATAATAATTGGGACACCAGGGACCCTGCTAGATTGGTGTTTTAAGCTAAAGCTTTTTAATCTGAAGAAGATCAAAGTGTATGTGCTGGATGAAGCAGATGTCATGATCGATAAACAGAATTTCTTGGATCAGAGTGTTCGCATCCAGAGGTAAAACATTTTTCTTCTTCTTCTTTTTGTTTCTGAATAAGAGTTTCTTTCCCACTACTAAACACCCAGGATATTTAACTTTTCCCAAATTGCCTCAATGCCACACATCGTCCAAAAGACAGTTGTAAAAATTCAGATCATATAAATAAATAAATACAACTTGTATGGATTTATGTTATTGAGAAAATCATTAAGATTCTTTTGCCAGGGAAAAAACAGATCACAGGTTAAACAAAACGGCAACCAGTGCAGCTCTCACAGGAGAGGTGATACATGTGCACGCCAAGGCCTGCGCAAAATCATGCAGGGCGCCGCATTTTGCACCAACTGAAGCTTCCACATGTTTTACATATAGTCTACTATAAGTCTATAAGTCTAAGTGTTGTTGTCATAATGCTATTAGTTGAATAAGGCTCTGAGTCTATGACAATTCCCCATGTCCAACTCACTGCAGACAAAGAATCACACTAACATCAAAGAAACAGTGGAATAGAGTTATTGAAGAAAGGATGCAACAGGAAAAACAGAATGAAAAGTGAATGGCAAACATCAAAATATTCTTTTCGTTATTTTAAATAATTAAATAGAATTGTTAAATTGTCCCGCAGTGGGTTGGCCACGGCAAGTTATCCCAATTCTTCGCTGTAGATCTTTGCTGGTGAGCTATTTTCTGTCATTGGAAGCCCTGAAGATCAAATCTGGAAACCTTGTCCGTGTAAAACCACACTGAGCTGTGGGCACCTTGAAACCAAGTTCCTTCCTTTATGGGAATGTTGGCAAAGGGCCGATGCAGAACAGTTTTGGGGGGTATTTAATATTGGCTTCATTCATTCCTATATGTTGGAACTATTCTTCCTTTAAAAAATTTCCCATAGGAATTTGTCTTCAGATTGCCAGCTGCTTCTCTTCTCAGCTACCTNTGCTTGGCTTTCAGCCACCAAGGTTTTGGTATCTTGCTATTAAAGTACATTCCAGTTAAGCTTGTCTCGGCTTTCATTACTGGACAGAGGAGGGGGTCAGAACAGGTTCCCTAACTAAAACTAGGTTAGTGGCTCTGTTGCACCAATCAGAAATAGGGCTCATTGCACCGGCCTTCTCTCTGAATAGCTTTTCTGTAAAAAGTAGTCTTCCCCCCGCAGTAACCGGCCTGCCTCTGGAATACAAATTCCCTTCCATTTTTCCAGTCGGTGTATGTGAAAATGAAATATTGAAGACAATATTAAGGGCATGTCAGACTTTCTCTTTGAGCAGATTGGTTTCTGAAATACTTACTGCTTCTCTTCTCTCCTATTTGCCTCCACAGCTAGGCTTGTGATATTAAAAAGGAGGCCATTCTTTCAGCAGATGGAAAGAAGGGAAGAGGGGCAGAAAGGGGATAAGTAATTGCATGTGAACACAAAGATGATGGAAACTCGGCATGGCCAGCCAAGATTACATCTGTTGGGATCTAAGTGTTTAAAGAGATCTCACCTGGAAGAACTAAGTGCCTATTATACCTGACTAAGCAGCAGAGGACAATCACGTGAGCCAAGGACCATGTTAAATGCATTGTTCTCAGTCCCCACCATATTCGTCTTGCTTCTTCTTCCTATAAATCATGCTTGAAGAGGGTTCACCGACAAATGCGCGCTTGACAAAGCGCACCGACAAAACCGCGGGGAGAAAAGTGTGAGTTTGAAATCGCGCCGACGAATGAGCACAGAAGCGTGCCGACAACAGCACGCCGACAGAAGCGCGCTCTAAACCTAATCCTAAAGGTAACCGTAAACGTAACCCTAAACCTAATCCTGAACCAAACCCTAAACCTAACCTTAAACCAAACCCTAAACCTAACCCTAACCCTATCCCTAAACCTACCCCTATCCCTATCCCTATCCCTAAACCTAACCCTAACCCTAACCCTAACCCTAGCCCTAACCCTAACCCCAACCCTAACCCTAACCCTAACCCTTACCCTTACCCTTATCCTTACCCTAACCCTTACCTTAACTGTAATGGCGCTTCTGTCGGCGCACTTTTGTCAGCGCAATTTGGTGGGCGCGCTGTCAACGTCGCGGTTTTATCGCCACAGTTTTGTTGCCGCGCTGTTGTCGGGCACGCATTTGTCGGGTCACGCTTGAAGAGCACTCTGCCTAGCCTTCTATCCTACTGAAATCAGTTCAGATAAGTCATGGCAATGTCTTAGAAATCAAATGGTGGATTCCAGTCCAACAAAATATCTTCAACTGACGGAGTCTTTGCCCCAAACCTTGAGGCAAACGTTTCTTCTCTTACCATGGACTCTTTGATGCTTTCCAGAACTGACAACACTCCTTGGGCTGCTATGGTTGCTCCAGTCTGCTGAGAATCCAGATGGGGACATGGGTGTGCTGTGCACCTGTTGCAGCTCTGAAAGAGAAAGAGATTTTTATGGTAGTACGTGCCTGTCAGATCAACCTGAATTCATGCTGTTGCAATGATCGACCATTGGTCAAGCTAGGATGAGCCAGATACTGAAGTTGTTACTTGTCCAGGAAGATACTCCGAGTCATAGATCTGAAGAATCAGAGGAAACTGCTACCCATGAAACTGAAGATTTGGAGTCCACACCGGGTGACAGTCAGCCCTTTCCAGTGGGAGGGTGCTTCAGCCAAATGGCATATGGTCTACCATAAGGTGAAAAAGCCTTCGATGAAATGTAATGAGATGGGCAGCCTAGCCAGCCCTTCCAAACACATTCCTTGCCAATGTCAGGTGGTATGCATTTCAAGATTCCACCAAAGGACTCTGGAGATTTTGAGCATAAGAAATAAGAAATCATATCTATACAAACATGTAAGCAAATGCATGTTCCTGAGTAGGCATTTACACTTATGGGTCCTGCGTGTGCACAAATCTTACTTCCCTCGATTCATAAAACCACAGCTGGTGGCTAAAGGCTCTGACATGGTAGAAAGGACTACGAAGGCCAAAGCTGTAACAGGCTCCCCAGATAGGGATGCTCTTTGAGCTGCCAAGTTAATTTCCAAGTAACTCAGCCCTTGCTGTGTCCTTAACAGAGTGGATGCGCCACTCTGCATCGCTCCTGGCAATTAGCAGCTGCAGCAAGCAAATGAGGCTTTCTATTACACTCCACAAAAGCCATGGCATTAAATCTGTAGCTGAACTTTGGAGATAATTCAATTAAGTCCCCTTGCAAAGAGGAAGGGTGAGTTTGGAGAGATGCTACAACCAAGGAGAATTCTTTTTTTTTCCCATTTCCTGGCTACCTGCAGGAAATCTCTTGACATTTAGATAGATGTCCTTATTCATTTTCATGATCTTGGGGGTGAAGGCAGCAATCAGTGAAGGCACCTCTGACTTTTTGAGTTGGACAAGACCTCTCACAGACTCATAACTGATTCAAGAAGTGAAAGGACAGGAAGCAGATAATGAGGACTTCATTTCCACAATGGAGAAATGCACAGTGTATAGGCATCCCTCGAGAGGTGGGTTCCTACCAGTTCGCACCTATTCGGTAGAACCAGTTCGTCAAATCTACCGAACCGGTTAGAAGAGGTTCCACCAGTGGACCCGGAA